GCAGGCAGCCTGAGGTGTGCAGGGAAAGCTGGCATTGCTGTCCCACAGCCAGCAGCCCCAGACAGACCATGGGGATGCCCTCTGCTCCAAGACTCTTGGACTCATGTCCTCCCTTTTCCTGATGATTCACAGAGTCTCAGCCTGGGGGCCATGGGACCCAGGTCAACGTCACCTGTATCGTGAATGTCTGCAGCAGCTCTGAGCACAGCCCACGGTGCCCTTCCCAAGCCAGCGCCACAACGGAGGATGTAGACACCAGCCCCTCAGGCTGCCCGAAGGATGAGCAGGTCCCCTTCTCCCAGGAGGAGCGCCCCTTTCAGTCCCTGCGGGAGACCCCAGAGACTTTGCTACAGAGCCTGGAGAAGTCCCTGCCCCTTGGTGTGCTCGACCAGGGCATGAAGCTTGGTTAACAGGGCTGCCATGGGCCATGTCACAGCCGGAGAGGGCTGAGCCCTGACAGGGCCACTCCATTCCCTTCAGGCCCCTGTCCTCACAGGCATCTGTGGTTATTTCCAGGTCAGGTTACTACTACAATGGTGGGAAAACCCCACTATCATGGTGCAAGTCCTTCATGGGAGGTGGCTGGCATGAACCTGCGGGACATGTTCTTGTTACCTGAACCTGACCCCAGCTGGACCTGCATGTTTGACTTCTCGAGCCCCTGGTGGCTGGCCCCTCCCCTGACTCTGAGCTGACTCTGGCTTTCCAGAGGCCACAGTATCCGTCCCTTCTGTCAGGCTTGCTAAGAAGGAGAGACACTGTGTGCCACCCTTGGAGAAAGGACAGCGCTTCTGCCTGGATGCAGAGACCGCAGGATGGCCCTTTGGAGAGGAGACTGCTGGTCACAGGGTCTGTGGGGAGGAGGAAGTGGCAGCCCTGTAGGGGCCACAGATTCCTTGGATTAGTTCAGGGCGGCTGGAAGGTAGCACCTCCAGACCCCGTACAGCTTGTTCTTCTGTACCTGGTGTGAAAATCTGGGCCCAGGCAACAAGTGTTTTTACTCCATGCTACAGCCAAGGGGGCAGATCTTGGACCTAGTGTGTGTGTGTGTGTGTGTGTGTGTGTGTGTATGTGTCTTGGGTAAAGCATGTGCTCAGCATGCTCGGTGCTCTGGTCCAATCCCTACGCCCCTGAAAATGTGAGCGCCGTGCAGGTCAACAAGGCAACAGAACCAAGGCATGGTGGTGCACGCCAATGATCCTGAGACTGTCTCCAGAAAACCAACACAGCCAGCCCCTCTGATGCCCTTGGCGCCCACCACCACCACCTTTGACTTTCACTGCAAAGTACCCAAAGCTCCCACCACCCCGCTCCCACGTATGGCCAGTGGCTCGAAGGCAACACCCTGGACTTCAGAACTGGGGAGGTCTCAGGCCTCTGCAGCCACCTTCTCCTACCTCAGCCTGGACCGACCCGCAACCTCCCACCCCAACATCCCTGCCCCAGGGCAGCCAAAGAGCCCTTTTGGTACTGTGCCAGTGATGATGCCCAGCACATGTGAGAAGCCAAGCGCCAGGCGTCCGTGTCTGTTGTGTGCCGCGGGGTCTGCATAGTGGATGCCGTCCCCAGGCAGCTGAAGCCAGCCCTTCCCCACTGGCGAGGCCGGAGCACGGGCAACTGTGACCTGATTTCAGAAAGCAGGGTTTGGGGACCCCTGGAAAGGCCTGTTCAGTCTCAGGTACTTGGATCCTTGTTAATCAGTTCCACTGGACTTGAACTTGGCAGCTGAACTGTGGTGGGGGAGGAGAGCCTTCCGGTGACCACAAAGACCCACAGGGCTTTCTGCCCCTGGTCCAGATCAAGGTGTCAGACGCCAGCCCTGCCAGGTCTCTGCCTGCCTGGACCCTGGGCAGCGACGGCGCGCGTCCGCCCCCTGGTGGACAGTCTGGAGAGCCCCGAAGGTCTCTGGGTCTAAGTGCAGCTCCCCTGCTTGTGCTGATCAGGATGATGAGTTTGCACTGTTTGTTGGGCAGCATTCTGAGTTATTAATAAATTTTCTTTGTGTTACTTCCGGTTTGCGTTGACTCAGGCTCTGGATGGTTCTGGGTTGGGGATTCACCGAAGGCCTGTTGGCCTGTCAGCAGTGTGTGAATAGAAACGAGGGTGCTGGCCAGGGAAGGCTCAAGGTGGGGCTGGCTCCAGAGGTCTCCCCAAGAGCCCTAGGCTCTTGCCTAGGGCCCATGAATGTCCATACAGAACTTCCAGCTCAGGACCCGGCAGCTGCGTCCAGGTGACCCCGTCTTCTTGGGCTCCCAGCCTAGTCTTGGGCAGGCGAGGTCTCTACGCTGTGCCCCTCACAAGCAGCTGGATGCTCACCCAGGAGAGTGGGCCTTGACTATCCAAGGTTGTGCAGGGAGAGGAGCCGATTCCCAGGAGCTCCATCCCAAATACTCTCCTCCCCCAGGGCTCTGGGAGTGGAGCGGTGTGGGGGTGGGGACCCCTTAGCTGCTGGGGAATGGGCAGGAATTTTGTGGAACAGTGGATAGAAGGTCAGGGACAAAGGGAGGTTTTGTTGTTGTTGTTTGTTTGTTTGTTTGTTTTAATATGAGATGTTAAGTTTGGGGGCTGGGGAAATAAATAGCTTGGCGGTCTAAGTGCCTGCCTGGCAAGCTCAAGGAACAGAGGTTGATTCCGGTAACTGCGTGCTGTGCTGGCTGTGCCGGCTGTTCCGGGCATACCATGCTGGCCACTGAAACCCAGAGTGGTGGTGCATGCCTGTGATCCCAGCTCTGGGGATGTCCC